TACTTAGGTAATTGAAAACAAATTTCGCGATTCCAGTTAAAAGTTCCTGGAATAACACATTGACTGGACGCCTTAGACCACTCAGCCGCCGGAAGTTCGCAGTGTACCAAGCAACAGTTCTAATTCTGAAAGCCAACTGCGATTTCCGAATGCTCGTCTGTGTCCACTAAAACTCTCGTCAGTTAATCAGCTTTGTATTACGTTGGTCAGAAATTAATCACAACTCAAAAACTCTAACCCTAATAGTGTTGGCACCGACAACTGCCTCATTGCCTGGGGTCTGGATTGACCTTCCTTGCCTGATATGCGACCGGGAGATAGGTGTATGCGAAAAAATTTGAGGCTAACCTCGGCTCAGAACGAAGCAATAGGTCGGGCGAAGAGAAATAAGCAGGGCCGACAGCCGTTAGCCGCGAGCAAAGAGGGTGAAAACGCTCACGAGACACAAAAACGACTTGACACGGCTAACGAAGACACTCGTGAAGGCGCAAGCAATTCAAACAGCCACGAAAATCGATCGGTGCAATCGATTGACACATGGAAATTAAGCAAGGCGAATGGTCGTTCACATTTATCTGACGCGAACGGGAGATCAGACACCACGCTCTGAAGATGGAAGCGAGCGAGCTTTTGAAACGTCAGCCAGAATACACTTTGGTCCCAAAAATCGCCCCTACTTCTTCTTCCTCTTCCGGGGATGATGTAAGGAATATAGAAAGGTGTGTCTGCATGCAGCAGCACCATTTTTTTCTAGCTTCATTCAGATAAGTAAAAACAAGTTCAGATGACTGATTTGTCCGTAGGAAAATACGCAGGCACGTAGGCGCTTCTACTGAGATGAAACAAAGTTGTGGTCCCTTCACTCAACCAATATGATCATATGCAGAATGAGACTGCCGACAAATACAAGGGCGACTGAAATGGTCAATTCTGGTTGAGTAGTCATCATCAGCCGGCCATACCCAATCCCAGACATGGCGGCACCCAAGGCCCGAACCAACGACATGTTGGCTGGAAGTTAAACGTTCCAACTGCTGCGTTACGGGCTCGTTGCCTTGCCGGTTTCGATTGGAAATAGACAATGGTAGATGAATGGTTATTGATGGCTAGTAATGTCATCCCGCTCTGCGGCTGCTGACTGGGCTCAAGAGACAAAGCTCCAAAGCACGATAGGACGAATGGGTCCTGGAGCTGATCGGCAAGCCTCATTCTCTCCTTATAGATATACAGTACAGGCTCGAATTCGTGTAACATGCCGATATATGCGAAAGATTGATACTCTCTCGCTATTTGGCATTGCGTAAGGTTGTTATACAGATTATCATGTAATCTATTCTGTAGTCATTCAAGTCACGATAGGATGTCGGCTTTTTAAAGAGCTTTCTTCTGACCGCTAACAAATGTATTTGCTATAAAAAATGGCTAAGTAAGTAGTATCCATTTTTATCATTGATTTTGACTGCCATTATAAATTCAAATATATTGTATGGAAAAAACATACGAAAAAATTATTAATTGCATTCGTCTAGGAAGAAATTATGAGTTTCTTATCTTACGGTCTTAAAAAAGTTTCTACATTGTCAAATAATTTTGAAACTTCTGACTGCTACACTTGAATTCAAGGTTTACAAACTGCGCGCTGTGTACA